TATCAGCATATCAATTACTGGGGAGAAAAATCTTGAAAAAGCCCACCAGTGGTACATATGGGGAGAAAACGGCTGAGACGGGGACTCAGAGAGGGGAAAAGAGAGATGATAAAACTCCTGGGAACAAGGAGGGAGGGCTCTTTTTGAGTGCTGATTTCATCGAAACAGACAGAACTCTGAACATGTACTGGCCTGGACAGCTGAATGCAAGATAAAGGAAACACTGCAGAGATCTATAACATTCTAAGCTTAGGAGCCTATCCTATATTTTACATCTGATAGGGCATGTATAGAGAGATGGACAGAGGAATTATGTTTTACCCTTTTCTTTTGAATCCCTTGCTCAAGCTGGTGCTATGCTAAGAGTACGCTTGTAAACATTTCATTCTTTTAAAAATACTTTATAATGTTTGATCATGGTAGTGGTTCTCTGTACTACATAGACCTCCATTGTCTTGGACACGCTATTTTAAAAGCAGCACCGGAGAAAGGCAGTCAGTTGGCAAGCGGCTATTCCTCCAGGGGCACACAAGGCAGTAAACTGTCCCTGTGGTGAACGGGTGCTGGGCAGTAGGAGCCACAGAGACAAGGCCTCAGAACTTGGATGGGAAGCTGGGAGTTCTGACCCTCCCAGAGGGCAGTTCCTACAAAGGTCAGGTGACGGTGGTGGGTTACCAGAGAGTAGGGTTGCCAGGTCCTACCTGGCACCTGGCAGGGGACTCCCAAGTCCTTCCCAGGATCTGCTGCAATTGCTGCACAATGACCTCATCTGGAAGTAATGTCATTGCGCCGCCAACATCAGGTGGTGACGCTCTAGTTTTGGGGCAAAACTCTATTTTTTCCCCTTCAAAACTATGGAGTTTGCCCCCCCCAGTGCCCCCCCAACGTTGGTGATGCAATGACGTCACTTCCGGGTGATGTCATTGCATTGGGGATGTCGCACAGCAACATCCCTATTTGCTGGTGGGGTTTCCTCCGTTGGCCAGCTGGCTGGTGGCAGATTAGAGCCCCCCAAAGTGGGGGAGCCCCCACTAAGACCTGGGGACTGGGAACCCTACTGGAGAAAGAGAAAAGCCTCTCCAGGTGTTAAAAACCTTGGACATCGCTTATTTGTGCTGTGATGGGTTTTAAGAGTTCTGCAATGGTGGCCGTCATATTTTTTTCTAGAGTGTGTATTGTCTCTAGAAACTCTTGCCTTAGAACTGTGAGGCCGTTTTGAGCACGCTTGTCTGCTTCTGCCGCCATTTTGTTTACCGTTTCGGAGGTTTCTTTGCTGGGTATTGAGTTGTTTTTTACGAGTAAAATAGGTCGAAACAGAGGTGCTGACTACGTTAGACTTCTTTCCTCTTGCTGTAGAGTTTCTTCCCATAACTTTTGAGGAGAGTCGATGTCGGAATATTGTTGATTTTTGCTTGTCAGGGGAAAATTTGACGGGAGCCTCCCGTTCAGGCGTCTGCCATCTCTCGCTCAGACGCCACGCCCCCTTAAAAACCTTGGAGGGCAGGGTGGAACAGAGCTTGCACACCGGAGCAGGACTGTTCTGCCACTGGATGTAACTACATTCAAATACCATCAAGCCTCATGAAGCCAAGATAACCAGTATCAGGGATTGGCCCTGACCTGTTACCAAGAAAAATGTGCAGGCCTTCTTAGGCCTCACAGGTTTCTATTGGTGTTTCATTGCCCATTTCACTCAACCTGCTTCACCTTTCTTAGATCTGTGCAAAAAGAAGGCGCCCACGAGTGTTTTCTGGAAACCTGAGCGTCGACATGCCTTTGAAATTTTGAAACAGAGACTGTCTCAAGCACCTATCTTGGTTCCAACAGATTATGACAAGCCCTTTGTGGCCCAAACCGATGCTTCTTCCAGAGGCCTTGGTGCAGTTTTGTTGCAGAGGGGGGAATGGATGTTGAACTTCACCCTATTGTTTATTTGAGCAGGAAATTGGTGCCATGAGAACTGGCTTACGCTACAGTAGAGAAAGAATGTCTGGGGATTGTGTGGGCCCTCAACAAGCTGAAACCTACTCTGTGTGGCATCAACTTTTCTAGGAAACTGATCATAACCCTTTGTCTTTCATCCATAGAATGAAAGGAAATAACACTTGAGTGTTGAGGTGGGCCTTAAGCCTGCAAGATTTCAGCGTTGAGATTACTGACACTAAAGGTAGCCAGAATGTGGTAGTAGACAGCCTGTCACGTATGGGGAGTAAGTAAATCTCAGAAGGAGGTCACTTCAGTAGTTCCTGCTTCAGTTTCTGCTTTGCTCATTGTATTCATACTACTAAAATACCATTAATCTACCTTGCTTCATAGGAATGTAAATGTAGATGTACCTAGTTGTGGTAGGGTTGCCAAATCCAAATTGTCTGGGAGCGGGGGGCTCCCGGACGGCATCCTCTTCGTGCACGTGCGCACGTCGCGTGTGCGTCACCCGGAAGTGACGTCACACGCTGGGGGCGGGGCCACACCATTTGAGGGAAAAACGAAGTTTTCCCCTCAAATGGCGTGGCTCCGCCCCCAGCGTGCAACGTCACTTCTGGGTGACGCACATGGGGGTGGGGTTTCCCCCGGGCCCCGATTCCATGGGAGTGGGAATCGGGGCTCGAAACCGGGGGGAATTCCGCCCCCCGGGGGGGGGTTGGGAACCCTAAGTTGTGGTGAGCTTCAACCATGATAATACCATGGATTTCAGCTTCCAGAAAAGGGGGGGCATGAGGCAATTTCCCTCAAAGGTTAATGTGATTATTTGAGGGCCTAGTCCGGCTTGCAGGTGTTCATGATTTGGGCTTTCCTGCATATACCATTCTTATCTCTTCCAAGACCAGACTTAAGAATGCGGTAATTGGTTAATCGTGAAAACCTGTACTCAGTTGTTTAACCAGATGGGAGGGGAGAATTAGGAGCAGATGTTAACATCTTCTAGAAAGTTTCATCAAGAGAGATTCTTGATCGGATCCAAGAGACCACCTGGTGCCAGTGGGCCAAAAGCTATAATAAGGGTATAAGCCAAAGGGAAACCATGCTAACTTCTAGCGTCCTGGCCCCACTGATGGACCTCCTGATGGTATCTGGTATTTTTGGCCACTGTGTGACAGAGTGTTGGACTGGATGGGCCATTAGCCTGATCCAACATTGGCTTCTCTTATGTTCTTATGCTTATGCCATGCTAGTATGTTTTGATATGTTATGCTTCATCATGAGGGACTGCAGTGTATAGAATGCTGTTAGGCTATTCCTTGGATTTTATGCTGCAAGAAGATTTGCCATCTAGTACCAGGTATTCAGTGTATTCGATAGAACAGTTCACTTTTTTATTTTATCTGTTGCTAAGCTATAGAGATTGTACTGCATAGTGAAACTTTTAAAAAATCCTTTAATAAACCTTTATATATTTTAAAGGTATGTTTTATTGGGGCTGGGTACTGCTTGAGGGACGAGGAACAATAACAACCCAGTGGGACCCAGGCTTGAGTTCTGGACAGAGAGCATCTTGCATTAGGAGAAGGCACCATCAACTGGTGGAAATGCACAGGCACTGACTGAACAAAATGATATCATAGAACCAATTATGCCAATGTATGCTGTGGCAAAAAGTAGCAGAGAAAGACTCATAAGAACATAAGAGCCCTGCTGGATCAGACTAGTGGTCCATATAGTCCAGTATCCTGTCTCATGCAGTGGGCAACCAGTTCCTTTGGAGGTCCAACAACGGGGCATAGAGGCTGAGGCTTTCCCCTGAAGTGGCCTCCTGGCACTGGCATTCAGAGGTTTACTGTCTCTGTTAGGAAACAATCCCAAGCGAAAGTTCTTAGAAAGCTGGAGTATTCTGAATAAGGCTTCTCTAGAGTTCCTTACAGTTATCCTGTGGGACATTCTCTGCATCCTGAAGCTAACGCTATACTTCAGTGCTGAAGTGTATGTGAAACAAAAGACAGCATTCACATTTGTAAAGATGAGCAAAGACTCTAAGCACAGAATTTCAGAAGATTTATTTCTGCTAGGATATTTTTTACCACTTTTTTTCCATTTCAGCACTCAGTAAATCACCACTTTTACCCAGGCCTGCCCTCAACTCTTTCTACTGGGCTATGTGCATCGTCTATAGAAATAAATACTTTACCCCCCATACTGCCTAAACTTGGCTAATTCCATGTCACCAACTTCAATCTATGTGTGGATCTCAGTGTACAAAGCTTTGAGCTCCAGGCACAAAGCCAGCTTTGCTCTTATTTCATTCTTTCATATGCTAACAGTTAGTCATCCACTTGCCAATACTGGTTTCTGATCCTGTCCATCTAGTTCCTTTGACATACTTTTCTATACAGTGTCAGCCTGCAGTGACTGGAGTACTCTAGTTTACACTGCATACTTCATTGAGTGCAGAAAAGCAGGAAATGTGAAAGGGAACCAAGCCTGGCTTCCCAGCAGGCAGAAACCATGACACTTCTGTGACCTGAATAAGGCAAGATGGTCACTGTCACCACAGGCAAAGTGGAGAATAAAAATTGCTTGATATTTGTGCTCCAGAACAATAACACTGTTGGCTTTGTAAAACACAGTTTTTTATATAAAGCTACATCCATACATCATTGGATATTGTATGCTGATTGCACTGTCCATAAAGGAAAATCCAGTTGTGAATTATTGCTATAGCACAGCAATAGCACAATATCCAGTGATATGTGCCTGAAGCCCAAGTGTAATCAGAGACCAGTTCAAAATGAGAAGTCAGATTGCATCAAGTACATGCAGTTAGACTTATGGTGGTGCATGCCACATAACAAAAAGCCATGTTATAAGAAGAGTCTTAAGAGCTTGTGTTGATTTAGGAAGGGAATAGAAAATTCAGTATCCTTGCTGCTCTGAATACTGAATGATCACGATGCTTTCTTCTGAAACAAGTAGGTTTGACCCACGGTTTAAAAAAATAGGCCCCCCCCATTTAAACTGAAGCTATCTGCCTCACAGTTATATCTTGCCAACACAAAAGCAAATTTTTAAGATTCTGCTTCCTGCTGCTTCTGCAGCTGGCTCTGAGACTGGGGAACTGACTGGTGTGTACTGGCCAGATCCAAGGCCCTGTGGCTGCTGCTCACTGAAGGATGAGAAAAGTGATGGGCTGTGTGCTCTGTAGAGTTGGGTGCCTCTTTGCTCTTCCCATTATGCCTGTGACTGGAAACTTCCTGGTTCTTTTCACTGTGTCTGGAAGCCTCAGTCGTCATCATACTAGTCTCTGCTGTGCTACTTATCTGTGAAAACAACATCAAGTTCTGGTTCATTATACCAATGGACTTAAGGTGAAAATAGATATCTGGCAGTTTGATGCAAGGGGTCTGAATAGGCATTATCTGCATCTTTTGTTTTTAGGGCAGAAAATTCATGTCCATTTAAAATGTGACATCTGTCTGTGTAACATGAGTCTAAATGATAATTTCAGATGGTTCAGATGCTTTGCAGTATCCCAGCATCATTTTTAGCTTGCTGGAACAGAGGCTGGGAAAGAGGCATCATATTGTTCCAATTTTCTTCACAGTAAACTAGCACAGAGACCCATGGAACAAGGATATGCAGTCCTCCTTCTACCCTCTGCACCTCACTGTAAGGGGAATGCAAGAAGAAATCTTACATAAATCCTGTCAGAGGATCAGGCTGGACCAATGTCCAGAGAATGAAGAAGCTTCATCAAATGAGCAAGTGTCTGGCTTGAAGAGGGAGCAAGAGCTCAAATTCCTACCTCTTGGTTGCTATTAGAATGGTACCAGGAACAATTGCCACAGTAGTCCTTGTGGTACGTGTGGTGTACAGCAGCTTCAACATAAGGGAAGTGCAGGAAACTGTATGGCAGCTGGATGTGGAAAGTCAGCTTGCTGCACCTATAAAGTCCAGGAGTAATGGAGGGGAGAAAATACAGAATTGGTGTCAGGATCCATTCATACCAGGAATGACTCTGGTCTGGTCTAAATTGGCCTTCTGTTTTCTATAAAGTCAGAAAAGAATAAGAAAAAAATTGCCTAGTAAAGACAGTGAGTTGGTTGGAGAGTTCCAAAATAACATAAGGAGCACATTCATCTTTTGGCCCCTCAGTTCAAAAGCTAAAGTATTCAAGTTTAATTATGCTGCTTCACTTCCCAGTGTTCAAGCTGCCCCAGTGTGTGCTGCATAATATAACGCAGACACACCATCTCCACATTTTTTCCTAGATAGCTCCACAAACAGCCAAAGTTCAAGGCCCTCTGGTGCACATGATGTCTGGAAAAGAAAGCAACAACAAGCAGCTTTACACAATTCTCAAGCCCTTGGGAGAGGTTAGGCAGGATGCTAATAAGCTATGGAGTCCAACAGAGGAAGAAAATGGCAAGGTACAGGCTGGCCATCCCCGAGTCTGTCGAGCCATCTTTACATTCATGTAGATGGAAGAGCACCTACTGAGTTAGGCTACACGCATCCATCATGAATAAAGACAAATAAGGCAGTTTGGAGACATTGCTGGACATAAGACAGTTTGAAGGCATTATTGGCTGGGAAGTTCATGTTGCTGTGCCTCTTTGGCAGTTCGTGTTGATGTGCAGTCCTGATGAAGGGATTGAAAATTTATTGACTAATCTGGAGGATGAGTTGACTGCAGCTTATTTCTTATTGTTTGTCTCAAATCCTAAGTAAGAAGTGGATGTACTTGCTTTATGGACATTTGAAGATCATGTTTTTCAGTCCATTGGAATTGGAATTTGTGAAGTCTTTCTTTAGGGAGTGTTAAAAAGTTAGATATTACTTTAAATCCCCAGCCTATCTATGGTATTTCTTGTATTTCATGCATTGAATGCTATTGTATATTTGAAAAATATTTGAAGCTTTATTTGATGTTAAGTCATACAAGATTTATATTTATTCATCTATTTCCTTAAATTATTGTTAGGATACAGACCAGAGATTTAGACTGGTACTTTAGATCCTATATTGAGGAATTTGGGGTTCCAATCCCCACCATGTACTACAATTCTCATAGCTCACTCCCTTCTCTGTCTGCATGCTGCGTTAGTTGCTTTTCACATAGAAGCAAGTACAGGTTTAAGCAATTCCTTGGAGACCCATCTTGTCTTGATGAGTTATAGGAGTTTGTAACCCTGCAAACTGCCTTGCATATTACCTCGATGGTTCACAGCCCTTTAAGATATCCAGAGCTTGGTCTCTTCTAAGGAGAGATGCATAAAAATTGTCCCTTCTCCATGCCCTTGCTATAAAGACAGCAGGAGAAATGTGTTTAAGCACTGACCTGTCATAGATCAGGAAGTCATCCTTGTCCCCATGTAGAATTTGCCAGACGTCAGGTTCCAAGATCTCCTGCTGGTAAACAGGAATTCCCTCTGGAGCATGCCGCTTGAGCTCCCAATACATTGCCCGGGAAAAAGGAGTCTTCTCATTCACAATCATGAAGCTTATATTGACCATCCCTTTATGGGACAGCTTCTTCTGCAAGCTGCCAAGGCTGGTAATAGGAAGCAGCAAGAAAATTTAGGAAATGATGGAGAGAAACTCACCCCTCCCTCTGCATACACTCAAGACAGGCAGGCTCACAAGCTCAACTATCTGGCAAAAGCCAGAGGTCTTACCCTCATTTTAAACCCACTGAGTTGGCATTTATAGCGTCCAGTTCTGCACAGCTCTAGTTGCATGCAATATTAGAATATGTGTAAATTCTAATTCAGGAGCAAAATTACATCCATCTTGTGTATGTGTATTGTATCTGGCCAACTGTAGCTAATGTTTGTTTGCAACCTCAGATCTGGAGTTCACTAGAGGGGGACCTGGCAACTCCAGCCAGGGATAGAAGTAAATGTAGCTCTTTTGCTTGATGGAAATTGTGAATGTGGCTCTCCACAAGCCATGGAGTGAGTACCACTGTCTTAGAATGTCTCAAAAGGGCTATGGAGGACTGATTCAATTCAGTATTTTACGGCAGACAGTCTAGTCCTTCCTGATCCAAATTAATGATTCTAGGTTCACCATGATGTTAGTGAATTCTGACACATATGTGATACTACGTCTTGCGCCTATTGACAGCCCCAGGGACAGGTGGTCTTCTCCATGTAGTGAACTCACCTGGCAGCTTGCTTGAGACAGAACTGTCAGCTTGCTTTTAACAGGGCCACTACTGTCACTTGGCCCTCCACCCCATCCATTGGGACTGTCCCATTGATCTTCCAGAGTGGTGCAGGCTGGCATATTTGGCTCCTGTTCTCAGCCACATCTGCCAGTGTGGCAGTAATCACCAATCCCACCAGGAAGGTTGTTGTGGCTAGGGCAGGACAGCCCATCTTTTCCACTTCCCTTCAGCCTAGGATAAATACGGTACAATTAAGAATACAAGCTCCCTTTCCAGGTCAGACTCAGGTTGCAATCCTCAACAGATTAACTTCTGAGTAAACTCAGTTGAGCTTAATTTGTGAAGATCCATATTTTCTGGTATCTTGTTTCTGAACATGGTCAATGAACAATGGATGCTGAAGGTACATTCACATGGCAGCTACCAAGGCTTGAGCCCCTTTGTGTCATGTTCAGGGCTGCTCAGGGTTCAGTTATACTGGAGATCTATAGGTACCTTTGTCTTCCCTCAGATATGAGCTCCAGCTCCTGGAGGACAGCATTTGCATCAGAAAGAAGGTTCAAGGGAATACATTAACTCTCTTGATCCATAGCAGCCCTGTTGCAAATTGCCCCCTCAGGGATCTCCTGAACCCATGCGTAAATGGATCCTGAGTCAACATTCCCCTGCGCTCTTCCTTTCTAGCAGCATATTCCAGTTCAGCAAATTCAGTATCCTCAACATGCACAACTTCTGAGATGCTGCAATCAAATTGTTTTTCAGCACTGTTCATAGCACTAACAGATATGCAATGGGGGTCAGTTTTCCTGACATTTTTGTTTTAAATTACTTGCAGGTGGAGAAGGCACCAATTTTAATTGTGTTTAATTGGATTTTTATTTAATTTAATTTAGTTCAATTTAATTTAACTTTGTGGGAGCAAGTGTTTAATCAGGGTCATTATTAGAGTAGGGGCAGTAGGTGTACTGAGCTTGGAACTTTTTCAGCCCACCTAAGAATTTGTCAAGAAAATGTTGTTTCTTCCCTTTTCTCTTCTTTCAGTTCAAATTTGCTACCTTCAGTTGTACATGCTGTGCCATGCACACAATGCAGAAAATACTCCTACAGTTTAAAGAATGAGATCTTCTTTGTAGGCTAGAAAATTATCTTGTTTTTAAAAAAATGACAACTAACAAGAGATAGTGGCTCCATATTTGTAGTTCCCCAAATTCCACCCTCTTCGAATTTTTTTGTTCACCAAAGATCCACCATGGTTGGTTTTTTAAAAATACAGTCTCCTATGCTATGATCTTGAAAATAATCCCTCTTTAGTGAGTATGGCAGGTTGCTCAGAGGTGGGTGATTCTAAAAGCTTCAAGGGGGTAATGGGTAACTAAGAAAGTTAGGAACATGTTCATTATACGGGAAGTTTTCTGAATTAAAAAAACCCCAAGCAAATGAATTTCTGATAGTAACAATTCACAGACAGTAAAATACACAAAAGTCCTGGGCTTGGTGTTGGTGGTGTCATGGTCATGAACATTTCCATTAGTTGTAATACTGATTTTGCAATAATTTCCTTGAAACTCCACTAACAAATGTGGCAGCCACATCTAGTGAAGAAGACTGCTTACAACTGTGTGTTTAACTCTTTCATCCAAGGAAGCTGCTATTAGCTCTGCAGAGGGGAAAAATACAACCATAATAAAAGTCCCTGTGATCCCCCCCCCCCCCCCCGCAGGAAAAAAAACTTCAGGGTATGTGTGTGTGACAGATTTAGACTGGTAAAACTGCACTGGTTAGAAAAATGTCCTGTCCCTTTACCAGAGGCCTAATGTGTGGAAATAGGCAGCTGAAGCTCTTCATGGCATCCTATTGTCAAAGAATTAGGGCATTTCCCCCCTCCAGTCAGATGCAACCTGAGTGGTGAAAGAATTAAACTCCCCATGCACTTACTCGTTTCAAACCCATCTTAACCGCCTTAAAATGTAAAAATGTATTGGGAGATCTTATCCTGTATGTCCCATATGTGTCCAATCTGTTTCAGCCTAGTCTAAGATCACTAGATCTCAGAGGCAGCGTATGGGAACATACTGCATAAAATCTCCCTAAGCCCCAAGTAATGTTAATAATATAGAAAGCCCCTTCCTCATGCCTGTAGAAAGTTGACGAAAATGACAGAGATTCTTATTCTGTTACTGAACTGCCCTGTCCACACCAGCCTTGGAGGGGAGGAATCCTAAGTCGATCTACTCAGAAGTAGATTCCATTTTATTCAACTGGGCTTTCTCTCAAAGTTCTTAGGACTAGCCATAGACATTGTCAAGCCTAACATAAAGCCCCTTTTCAAACTGCCTTTGTATTCCATTTTAATAACGTTGCTAATGGATTTTTAAGTTATTTATATTTATTTATTTATACATTAGATTTATGAATAACCCAATCCAATTACTCAGGGCTCTGGGCGATGAACGACAAAACACTATAACATCAAACAATGAAACACAATAACAAGCCGGTTTAGATTAAAACAATTCTCAGATGGCATTAACATAAACTGACTGATGGGTCAGTTTTCAGACTGCGTACCACCCTGCAGGAAGGGGGGGGGTATTAGAATAGGTGGGAAAGGAATTGGGAAAAGGATAGGGAGTGCCAGCCAGGATGGTGCCCGTTGCTGTCCTCAGCCAAAAGCCTGGCAGAACATCTCTGGCTTGCAGGCCCTGTGAAATTGCATCAAGTCCTGCAGGGCCCAAGTGTCACTTGGCAGAGTGTTCCACCAGGAACGAGCCAGGGCCATAAAAGCCTTGGCTCTGGTTGATGACAGCTGGATGTCTTTTGGGCCAGGGATCACCAGATGCATTTTAGTAACTGGCTGTTAGCAGAATTTATTTACCTGTTTATACCAAACCACTTGTATTGGGTTAGTAAAGCGTGGTTAAGAACATAAGAGACGCCAATGTTGGATCAGGCCAAAGGCCCATCCAGTCCAACACTCTGTGTCACACAGTGGCCATAAATACCAGGTGCCATCAGGAGGTCCACCAGTGGGGCCAGGACACTAGAAGCCCTCCCACTGTTGACCCCCCCCAAGCACCAAGAAGACAGAGCATCACTTGCCCCAGAGCCCCTATCTATACCTTGTGGCTAGTAGCCACTGATGGACCTCTGCTCCATATGCTTATCTAATTCCCTTTTGAAGCCGTCCATGCTTGTAGCCACCACCACTTCCTGTGGCAGTGAATTCCATGGGTTAATCACTCTTTGGGTGAAGAAGTACTTCCTTTTATCTGTTCTAACCCGACCGCTCAGCAATTTCATGGAGTGCCCACGAGTTCTTGTATTGTGAGAAAGGGAGAAAAGTACCTCTTTTGAGCCACTTTAGAGGGAAACTGCTTTTCCCCATTTTTCAACTCCTTCACTGCACTTCTGAATCGCTGTGGTGTGCTGTTAAAATGTCCATAGCACTTCCTACAATGCTGCTTTTTCCCTGCCTTTTTTGCCGCACAGTCTTCCACAGACCTTTTGAATGTTCTAAGTTCAGCGCTATAGTGCTAAACCAATATAGCACTTCAGTGCTATAGTGACACCATTGAGATGCCTTGACTCTATTGACTCAAAAGAGTCAAGGCATCTCAATGGTGCCACTACAGCACTGAAGTGCTATATTGACTTAGTGCTATAGTGCTTAACTTAGAACATTATTTTAAAAAAACCCAAAAACACTGTGGAAGATCGCACGGGGGGGAAAAGCAGCACTGTTTGAGATGACCATAGCACTTCTGAGGCGGCTCATTAATGGAAGGAAATTCACTGTATGAAACCCCCCTCCCTGTATTGCTTTACTTGAAATTGGGACAACAACAAATAACATCCGGTTTAGAATGGTAATGTGAAAAGGGCCAGTAAGTCAAAATCACATTCTCACATTAATAATTTTTAAAAATGCAGAAATGGAAGTTGAAGAGACTAAAAACTACCCCTTCTGAAATTTGCTAACTAACACAAAACACACAGGTTCACATACACATTACCTTGAGAAATAAAATGATCCCGGTAGGACTTTTCATGTACTTATACTCTGGAAAAGGATTTAAATGAGTCTGGATTCAACCTTATTGTTACTGCAGTGGTGTTACAGTATGTGCCAGTGTGAGGAATATTTGTGCAGAAAAATACACCCAGATTTTGAGCCACCATGTGCTCTTGCATATACGCTGACCACTTTAACACATCCTTCAAAAGGCTGATTCCAATTGTCTTATTTTCTTGAAAATCATTCTGGATTAACTTTTTCACAGGCTTGCTTCACACATGACAAAGTAGGAAATCCATGTGCAGAAAGATAGTCGTAATGTGTGGGGGAAAACAATTTTGACACAATACCACACAGAGGCTAAATCTGCCAAAATCGCAAGGGGCGGTGCTATCCCCAATGTTGATAAATATAAATAAATAAATAAATATAAAATACTTGGGCCAAAATAGACACCCAGACTATTTTCACACGATAAAGTCAACACTGTCTGCAGAAAATCTGTAAACTTTACAAGTGGATTTGGAAATAAAATTTAAGACTAGGAAGTAAATTCAATACTAAATAATAAGCAAAGAAGCAAAACTTCCTATATCATAACTGCAAGGCTGCTCTGCAACTGAAACTCTTTATGAACAACTGGTGGGTCCAACTGCTTGAATCCCTAGTATATCTTGCAAGAAAAGAAAAGCAACTCCTTAGCAAGTTAGGAGAACCTGTGAACACATATGACTCAGATACATGCCAAATTACAAATCCTGCAGAAACCCCACACAGAAGAGCACAATAACAAAGTTTGACTCAAACTTTGCTCTGCTGCTTCAGACCAACACAGCTACCCACCAGAAGCATACAATATCACTCTCTTCGTTCACTAACATAATCATAGTAAGGAATTGTCAACATCTCTTCCCCATTATGACAGCCCTTTGTCTTCCTTCCTTCTTCCTGAAAGTTGCCCTTTTTCATACAGTTAAAGCACTGTTTTCCTCCCTTCTGTCTTTGATGTTATCTGCAGCTTGCACATTTTATAAATCCTACAGTGTTATTTAGCTTTGATTTGAAATTTAGCATCCTCAAACGAAAGCAAAAATGATCACAAGAAGATTAATTTAATACAGAGTCTAGATGCCCAGGGCTGCTTCTGTGAAGATCATATCAATGAAACCTCAACAACAATTTTCATCTCCCAGTTA